AAGCTATATTTCAGGTTCTACATACAAGGGAGTCACCACCAACTTATTTCAGGACAAACAAATTTACATCTGCTTTTCAGGAGATTGTTGATTCATATGGGTAAGTTATCTTAACTTTGACGGCTAATTGTTCTGTTCTATGAATGTTATGTCTTTATCACATACGTAGTATATATTATCCAAGCCCGAAAGCAGCAAATAGCTATAATCAATATTGAAATTAACCTTCCTTATAATTGTAGCTAATAAACTCTATACCTTTAGACAACAGTGCCTCCAAACCCCATCTTTTATCTCTGGTAAATTTTTCACGGGTTGTAAGATGACATGATAACATACTTATGCATTTGATCTATGTTCTTGTGTACTTGTTTGCAAGAAAATGGTGCTTGCTTTGCTTTCTGAATAATTGAACTTGAGTGGCTTATGTCCTGAAAAGCTTATTTAGCTCATGAGTTTTTTTAAAATTGTCGACTATATGGTGGTGCAGCTTCTTTATCTGCTTACATATGCATCAATTTTCATCATTGCTAAAGTAATTAATGTCATATCTGCAGGATTGCTCGGTATCGAGAAGCAAATCCAACTGTATACACAGTTGTTACTTTCCCATTCTTGTTTGCAGTCATGTTTGGCGATTGGGGGCATGGTTTATGTGTGTTACTTGCAACTTTATACCTGGTAGCCAGGGAGAAGAAGCTTGGAAGTCAGGTGATTCTCTTAAACTTAATGTAACAATCAAGTATCTCTGAAGCTGTTAACATGAGTTTTGTGAATTAACTTCATGCTCAAATATTGTTTAGTCTGCTTCCTTCCTACTTTGTTTACTGGCCTGAAAGTTATCTATTTATGTTTTGGGCTAGCAAAATCTTCTGACATACTGCATATGCAGAATGGGGTAAAACTACCGTAAAAGATTATCTAAATGAAAAATGCGAGAGCATTTTATTTAAAATTTGCAGCCATCTGTACAAAGCTCTTTCCTGAAGAAAGCACATGTGGAGGAGCATATGCTCACAATATTCTCCTCCTATGTGCAGGTGTAATGTAATAACATAGTTTATGACTAAATTATCATACTGGATTAGGGATCAAGAACAAAAAAATAATATTATGCTGAGGAAAGTCCTCACTTTCACATGTTTGAGGAACACAAATCATTGGAACTTCTGGAACTCGTTGCTGGACGGTGCCAATCTAGATTTTGAAGACAATGTTACAAATTAGTAGAAGTTCCATTATTCATATGAACAAACATTTTTATTTAACAGAGATATTTGCTTATAAAGCCCTTGTGCTTTAATATGATTTGATATTTGTCACCAAGATTCAAATATTACTGCGATATATTCTAGGTGTGGTGCACAAATATATACAAAGTTTATAAATTTCTCATTGTTAGAGTGCCATATATAAGCCATAAGGTGGTGTTTTCTGAAATACGGAGATTACTAAGACTGTATTCTGTCAGTCAATTCTTAATTGTTATAGATTTTGGCTTTTGTAATTTTGGTCTAGGCTTGATTGTTGCTCAATATTTTATTTTATCTGATAAACATTTATTTATTTATTTTTGCAGAAACTTGGAGACATCATGGAGATGATGTTTGGAGGTCGATATGTTATTTTGATGATGGCAATCTTTTCAATTTACACAGGCTTCATCTATAACGAATTCTTTTCAGTCCCATTTGAATTATTTGGAAAGTCAGCCTATGCATGCCGTGATCCTTCCTGCAAGTATATACAAAACTATTGCTTACTGTGGTCTTTGTTTTTTTTTTTTTTTTTTTTTATTATTGCACTTTTCATAGTATTGTTTTGTTTATCTGTGGTTATGCAATTGCATTTCAGGGATGCAACGACTGATGGTTTGATTAAAGTGAGAGATGCATACCCGTTTGGATTAGATCCTGTATGGCATGGTTCTCGAAGCGAATTACCTTTCCTTAACTCCCTAAAGATGAAAATGTCAATTCTTCTTGGTGTTGCCCAAATGAATCTGGGGATCATGATGAGTTTCTTTAATGCTAAGTTCTTCAGAAGTTGTGTGGATATATGGTATGTATTAAAAAGTCTGACTCAGTTCTAGTGCTTATGATTTTGGACAATAAATGACAGCATTTGCAATATCACTAGGCTATCAGCTACAATGATTTTGTCCCTCTTTGCTTCTTGATTTTAGATTTATACTTAAATCTTATTCTTATAGCGAAATGCAACGTGGTTTCTTGTAGCTACAGTTTTGCACTGGCTTTGCCACTGACCTTTAAATGGTTTGCTGCAGGTTCCAATTTGTTCCACAAATGATTTTTTTGAATAGTTTGTTTGGATACCTCTCCTTTCTTATTGTATTGAAGTGGTGCACTGGCTCTAAAGCTGATTTGTATCACATAATGATCTACATGTTTTTGAGCCCTACTGACGAATTGGGTGAAAATCAGCTTTTCTCTGGCCAGAAGATGACTCAGGTCTTTTATCCTTTTTAACACCTGTTTGAGATTAAAATTTTAATTCTCACATATTTGTATCCTTGGTTATCTTACTGTTTGCACTTACTTTCTCCCTGTGTTTCAGGTTGTTCTGTTGCTGCTAGCCCTTGTGGCTGTACCTTGGATGCTGCTTCCAAAGCCTTTTATCATGAAAAGCCAGCATCAAAGTGTAAATTTCCAAGACATTTGTTGAACTTGTTAGTTGATCAAGTGTAGGTTGTATGCCTCATTGCCCAAATTTAATTTTCTTGCAGAGGCACCAGGGTGAGTCATATGTTCCCCTTCACGCAGAAGAAAGCCTTCAAGTGGAACCTACAAACGGAGGTCATGGAGATCATGAGGAATTTGAATTCAGTGAAGTCCTGGTGCATCAGCTCATTCATACTATAGAGTTCGTGCTCGGAGCAGTTTCAAATACCGCGTCATACCTTCGTTTATGGGCGTTAAGGTATTTGTTGCTAAATGCTGCCAATCTTAAGAGACTATTAATGCTGAACAACACATAATTAGCAATCCTGTTGTTGTTAATAGTAGTATTTAGCCTGAATTATAATTGGACAATCACTGTAATAACTGGCCGGATAATTTCAATCTATCAGATGACCGGATGCTAAAGATTGCATTTTGAAAAAAACCCTTGGTACTAGCAACACTAGGTTCATATTGCACTCAACGCATGCCTGTCTTTGTCTTTCAGAGCATATTGGTATGCACAATTTAATTTGATGCAAGAGCATCATTGAGTCTGAGTAAGATATATCGCTTACATACTACACAAAATGCATCAAACTTGAAGGATTTTGGTAAAAAGAAATGTATGTTAGAATTGACCCATGAGAACACTTTTAAAGGTCTAATGTACACCGTAAGGTTATCTAAAATATGGACTTTTATGATACAAGTTAATGTAGTATATTGGTTTGGCATTTAAATTCTTTAAATGAATATAAAACCTCAAATATAATCAAAACATGATTAAACAATCTATGTAAGCTAAACAAATAGGAATTTTTATATATGTTAGAAATTAGTATTAAAGATAGTTTGACATCATGGGAATTAGTTTGAATAAATTGATGAGATAACTAATACTGTAATTTTGTCACCAATGGCTAATGGTTTCTGTTTTTTTTATGCAGTTTGGCTCACTCAGAGTTGTCTACAGTGTTTTACGACAAGGTTTTGATGCTAGCATGGGGGTATGTCAAAGCAAATTTCCTCTTTGCTGTTTGTTACATTTTGAAAAATTAGATTTTAGCCTTGAGAGAATGCTAGTGTACTTCTATTGAGTGCAGTGTTTCCACTCATCCACTCGAATTGTACAAATCAAAGAGGTTATGAGTTTTGTTATATGAGCAACAGCTTGGTTGAATATCCTAATTTTTTTCCTTGTCATTGCAGGTACAACAATGTCATTATTCTTATAGTGGGTATTATTGTCTTCATCTTTGCTACTGTCGGTGTGTTGCTAGTCATGGAAACCCTTAGTGCATTTCTACATGCATTGCGTCTCCATTGGGTGGAATTCCAGAACAAGTTTTACTTTGGAGATGGTTACAAGTTCCTCCCCTTCTCATTTTCTTTGATTGGCGAAGAAGAAGAGTGAATGTTTCAGATATAGCTTAGCCATTTCGCTAGGAAGTTGCGAGTTGTTGATATTTGATTCCTTAATTTATCTAGCTTCCTGGAGACGGAAGTTGGGAAACGCCCCTTTGAGGGACATTTGCGAGAATTAGTTTTGCACAGTGAAGAGTTTCAGACCTTCCAATTGTTTATTTGTACTTGGAAGAAATAAAAGGCCTCAGAGAGAAGTTACTGGCCGTGTATCATAACAAATCAGCTGTTTGTGTGTTTATGTACAATAAGTTATTCCTTTGAACATCATTGTTCATGATGATTAAACACCAAAATGCAAGTCATTATTGTAGCTTTTATCAGAATAATGTCAAATTAGACATTTTGGGTGATCATTATCTGTTGATCTAATGACAATCTTTAGCCGAATACGGCTTTTTTATTCTTTCATTCAGCACAGTCATCTTAGGTCCTCAACAAAGGAAACACTACAACCCACTATTATTAGGCTGTTGATGCAGTTATACGGGGTTATTTAAATCAGTTAACACTGAAAAAAATTGAATGTTTTAGTTCGGTTTCCTTTAGTTTGTCGGTGCGAAAAATTCACAACAAATTGTTTCTATGCATCGTCTGGGATTTGAGGAACGTCAAATGATTGCCTCTTTAGTTACAATTCTCAAAATCAGTGTTGTCCAGTGTCCACTGCATAGATCAAGATGGTTTTTGTCGCTCAAGTAGATCGTCTTTCACGGGTTTGTTAAATAATTCGATTTATCGGACAAAACGTGTTAAGGCAGCATAATGCCATTATTAATTCAGTAGCTTATGAAACAACAAAAACATTCTCATATGTCAAAATAATGCCTGTACTGGTCTTATGGCTCAAAAGGTGCCATAACTCCTCACCAATAGACTTTATAGTCTAGATGATTAAAATAGAAAAAGAGACTCAATTGATTTCCAATAACTATAAAATATAAGCAACCAACAATTTGGAGCGATAGTCTAAATGGACATACACTGATACAATAATAGTACAGATCCTTTGATAATAACACATACTAGAGACACTGATTTTCATTTTTATGCTCTTTCAATGTGACATCCTTCCCCTCCAAAGACTTACAACATCGTAACGATGGAAGAGAGGAAGCCTTGAATACATAGTTTCTTGTTTCAGGCTTACTCCTTTTACATTAAATGTACAGTAACGTATGCTGGTAGCATGGGTATATGGTTGCTGCATTCATCATACCCTACTGACTTACTGAGAGGTAGCAGGAGCTGCGGCAACAGTAGAGACCAAAGTGTTGACACCACAAAGATCGTAGCCCCTACATAATCTGTAATACCCATTCTCTCCCCAGTATTCACCCCACGAGTTCTTAATGATCCAGTATGGCTTCTCTTCCTTGCGCATATCAGAGTAACCAGAAGAACCAAAGCCAACCAATAGCACTCCGTGCTCTAAATCAGCTGAGCATGTCAATGGGCATGAAACTCCACCTCTGTAGCTTGACATATAACGAGCATTTATGCCCACTGCAATCAAGATGAGCTTAAATTAACGAACTGCAGATGCACTTCAGTAAACCAGAAGAAGAGAAAGAAAAGTAGATGCACTTTAGTAAACCAGATGAAGAGAAAAACAAATAACATGCTACACACAGGAGCACCATCCAAATAATAGGCTTCCATTTCAAATTAGATATGATCATAAATCTATTCGTGCATTACTGGAGTACATATATTCACGAGGAACATAAACATCCAAAAAAACAAGAGCTATCCATTTGAAACATCGTAAATTGACAGAAGAAAAAGGCTTACCAGCAAGAGGTCCATTTTTCACAAGGTTTGCAGCAATCTGGCCTTCATCAACAGGGACAACGCTGAAGTTTGCTACCTTAGCTGCTATCTTGCTCTTGTCAAATTTGCAGCGACCATTTCTAGCAGTGTATGGATAGTCCTCCTCTCGCATCAAGCCACCAGCTTTTAGAAGATATTCAAAGGCATTGTTCATCAACCCACCTTGGCAACCAAGGTCACAGTCATCTGGTTCCCCCTCTGGATCACACTATCAAATGACAACTAATTACATCAGAGAGCATTTAATATTGCAAGCCTAACATAGACTACATGAATCTCATATTTCAATTATCTACAACTTCCTACAACAATAAGAGATGTACCAATATATTAAAACTATATAGTGATGTTTAAAAATTTGTATAAAATCAGGAAGTATTGGTGCAAACCTCACGATCACAATCCAGAAGCTGTTGCTCACTAAGGCTCTCAAGTTTCCCTGTCGCGATAAAGTGTGCACCTTCCATGGCTCCAGTGGTACTAAAGGACCAGCACGAACCACATCCACCCTGAATATCACACATCAAACCACCACATTAAATCACAATTGATGTTCCGATTCAAAAACTAGGAATCATTATACATTCCCAGTATTGTAGGCTTAAAAGTCAAAGAATGTCAACCAAAAGAATGTACAGCACAGTAGCAAAGTCAAATATCAGATTAAGCATCATATCACAAATTTAGAAAGTTCCTAGAAATTTCTCAAAGTTGAAGTTACAAATCTAACAATATATGTGAAGCTTAGAAAAGGCAACTTTCTACAGCAGCATTCACAGCTACAGCTGAGATGCAGAGTCAAAAAAAAATTCACAACACATAACCCAAATTCACCTGATTTAAACAACAATCATCACTAAAATTACCTAATTTGAATCTAAAGTTTGATCATTAATTCACATTATCTATAATTAATACTTGACTTGTAAATTTGTAATCTTTTCTTGACACATTGTACTAGAACAGCTAAAATTTTAGCATATCCTAAACAAAAAATTGAAAATAATCTTTAAAAACATATCAATTTCACTTTTCATCCTACTATTTCTAACATAAGTATCCTATTGGATCAGAACCTCTCACAAGTCAACTCCGCCCAACAAAACACGAATAAATTAATTGAATAACATAACATGATCATAAAAAATTCATAAAAATAACCAAAAATTAAAAAATAAAAATAAAATTATAGACCTGATCTTTAGGAGGAGTAACAGCACCAAGTTTCCTCCAATCAAAATCAAGAGGAAGATCATCAGTAGGCAAAATAGGAGCCTTATTAGCATGAGAAGGATACTTCAACCCATTCTTAACACCCAGAAACTGACTCCTAAACTCAGACTCACTCAAATCGGAAAACCGGGTCACCCCATGAACCGCACTCGGGTCAAGAGCTTGATTAACCTTAGCTTGCCGCAAGTTAGCCTTAAAGATCTCGAAACGGTAATCGTGTTCTTCTTGAGTAGCGTATGATTTTCCGAAACGTTTCTTGAAGAGAGAGAAATGGTGGTGGGATTGTGATAAGTCTAGTGAGTTGGCGTCTTCATCGACGACTTGACGGATGAGGGAGTCGTCGGAAAATTCGCCGGCGCCGGGAATGTAGCCGGAGACAGCGGTGGTGAGGATGAGGAGAGAGAAAGTGAGGAGAGAGAAAATATGAGCCATGCTTTTCACGTTGTGTAGATGAGTGTGTAGTGAGGATTGGTTGTTTTTTATAGTGAGTGTGGGATAGGTTGTTGGACAGGCGGGAGCGTGGGCGAATTGTGTTATGACACGTGGGGAAATTGTACTGAAAATTATGCTGATTTTTAAAAATTTTATTTTTTTAATGTTCTCGTGATTATTAATGATGATTGTCTGAATTTAAAAATGGTACTGTACTTGTATTAGTAGTGATTTTCTAAAAATTAATAATTGCACAAAGCGGTGGAAAATATCATGAATTTTATGTACTACACTACACAACTTTTAAAAAAAAAAATTGATTTTAATAATCCCTCCAATTCCCAAATAGTAATCCCATCTATTGATTATTATTTAATGATCCATTTATAGAGGTCATCTTCTCTTATTGGTCCTTTATGACCAATAACTTGAAGAACGGGAAATAGAAGTTACTCATCCTGAGTAACAACAAATGTAACTCAAGGGGCACGGATGTAATTTCGTGCTTTTAAGTTGGGGTTAAAACGTCCACAGCATATTTCATAGCAATGGATGAATTCCTTCCATCCTCAACAACACCCTCCTTCTTCCTCCATTCTCCCACCAGTAATCCTTGGCCCTAGCAGTACCCTTCTTCTTCTCCACCGTTCTTCCACCTTCCCTCCGCAAGAGTAACACCTCCGCCAGAACAAGATGCTAGCCCTAAGAGGTTGATATGGCCCTAATTAAAACTATTTGTTCCTAGGGTTTCGTTTTGTTCCGCCGCGAAGCGGCGTTTAGGGCTTGAAGCCATTGTTATCGAGGAAAGAAGAAGAAAAGGGGGACAACGGGGAAGAAGATCAGAAAAGAGCGCGTGTACAATAATTATTATACATCTATTATAAAGATAGCCTAAAGTAATCAAAAGTTATCCTTGAAATAAGTAAAAGTTACAATCATTTACATAAAATGACCAATATGCCCTCGTTATGTATTTACTTTTTTTTTTTTTTTTTTTTTTTTTGAGATTTCCATAAAATTAATAAAAAAATTAGAATTCTTTTTTAAAAAATTCTTAAATCGCTCCAAAGCGGTCCGGTCCGGGTTTTAAACCGATTCTTTTGGTCCAGTTCGGGTTTGGTCTAGCTTAATTGGTCCGGTGTCCGGTTTTAAAAATTTTAATTTTCGGTGTGGTCCGAGTCGATCCGATCTTGGACCGATGAACCACCCTACTCATATCCAGAGGGAAGCTTTAACAATTCGTAGCAAATGAGGATAGGGATAAAAACACCCTTTATCCTTCCAATTCTATAACTAAGGGGGTGATATAAGGAAAAGAGATAGGCTAAAAATACCAAATTACCATTAGGTTGTGTTTGGAAGCAAGGAATTCATTTCAAATAGTTAAATTGAGTTTCTGTAATTGAAATAATGGATTTCAAATTCTAAATCTTTGTTTCCGAAACATAAGTATTTCAAATATAGAAATTCAAATTCTATGGGTATTCAATAATGTTGTCCTTGAGAGTGAGAGATAACTCAAGTGGTTAGAGCTTCCCTCCCGATTTCAAGAGATCCTAGGATCGATTCTCACCCCCGCCCTTATGACTCTCTAAACACCAAAAAAAAAAAACTGTTGTCCCAATACCTCCATCGTCCATGAAAAGGACCCAAGCCATTAATGAAATTGAAAGGATAAGGAAAAGGTAGAAGTTAGTAAAAGGGTATTTTAATAATTTTATTACTTATCTTATTTCTCATACTACCAATCATGGGATACGAATTATTAATCCTTATCACACCCAGGGGTGCTAATTGAGTTGAGTAGGTCGCGAGCAACTCGTACTCGACTCGGTCAACGCTCGACTCGAATTCGACTCGACTCGAGATATTAACGAGCACAAGTTGAGCAAGCTCTAACTCGACTCAATAAGCTTGTGAGCAACTCGATAATATATTATTAATATATAATTGGCAAATAAAGTTACTATCTTTAAACAAATTTGACACTTATTAAGCCTTAAAAATCGAAACACTTATATCATAAAAAAAGAAGAGAGTAAATTTTTAATAATATCTATATATATATAATAAGGAAAACAATGTAAATTGAACAAAAAATAAATATAGGCATATAATAATAGAAGGACCTAAATTTTAATGAACATATTATGAGCTACTCGACTCGACTCGAAACTTTAATGAGCACGAGTCGAGCAAGTTTTATTTGCTCGAAACTTTAGCGAGCACGAGTTGAACACATGTAAAAAGTTTTCGAGTTGAGTTGAGCACCCCTCAGCTCGTGATCGACTCACTCGATAGGCACCCCTAATTACACCTATCGATTCTCTATCTTTATCCTCCCTCCTTATCTTACCAAACATTTTTTTTAGGCAATCCCTCCAACCAAACATGAAACACCTAAGGGAGTAAAAAAGTGCCTAAGGGAGTAATACAAATACTAGAATAGACCCGCTCTACAATAATTTATTGTAAACTCAACCTTCTTGTATACCATACGAATGTGATTATATCATACGAGATGTGATTATATTACTACAAAAGTGATTATATCATTTTGAAACTGTTATATAAATGTATAACTCAAAAAGGGAATTTATCATTATAAAAAGTATCAAATACTAAATTACATCATTTCGAAACAAGATTTTTAAATTTTATCATCCTAAAGATAATTATATAATCTCATTAAATGGTTTAATATGTGATTATATAATTCAAAATATGACTCACAAAAAAATAATTATATCATCAGTGATTATATCATCCACAATGTGATTATATTATTTGAAAGTGTCAAATTTTGGGTGTACAATAATTTATTTTAGACCGGGTCCATAAAAGATCAGGGAATAAAAAAGTGCCTGAGTAAAAAGTGGATTTTAAATTAGTACAATAAAAGTAAATTATTTTTATTTTTACTAAAAAAATAATAATAATAATAATAATAATAATAATAATAATAATAAAAAAAAAAGATTAGAAACCCTCTTACGTTTCTTTTCTCTCCCTTTAGAGCTTTTTAGTGTGTTCGCTGCACGCCTCCCTCAGTCCCTCCTTCTTCTCCATTGAAACGCTTGTGAGCTTTCTATCCTCCATTAAAGTTGCTTCTGAGGTACCTTAAATTTTTTTTTTTTTCCATTTATTTTTGTTATAATCTAATTTCAATTTCAGAATCAAGTGTTAATCTTCAATTTAATTCTCAGTACAGTCAATTTAGGGTTCTTTGAAGGTGGATTATTGAACAATTAGTTATAAAATCTGAACGTATGAACGATTATAACTTCCGATTTTGTTGCTAGAATATTTCTATTCATGTTCTTAATTGAGAAAAATTTGACGTGATTTTGAGCCTAATTTGATAATTGAATCAAATTTGATTGCTAATGTTTTGTAAAATTTTGTTACTTATGTCTTTAATGTTAGGATAGAACAATGAAAATGGATTTGGTTGCTTTTGCCGTGCTATAAAGTGGCAAACACGGTGATCACAAATTTATTTTTTATTCCTAATTGTACTCTTCTATTGTGATCGTTTCGTGGAAAAACATCGATAAAGATCTGTCTGATCACTTGTGCTGTTATTGTATTGTGTGGAGAAACTGTGGAATCTGTGGCTCCTCACTCGTTTTTCGATTACTATTGTAGTTATTATTGAAGAACAAATTTATGTCATTCTTTAGAGTTTTTAAATGTGTTATATTTTATATCATAATATATAGAGGGATGCATATTCATAACCTGTTTTAGTTGCTGTAATTAATTTTTGTTCCGTGACTAAGGATTGTTTATTAAATTGTAGCTCATTTTCTATTGACTTGGTTGTTGTGTTTTCTGGTTGACATTGAGTTACTTTTGTTTATTGTCTTGCAAAAATTAAGAGTTATGACTAGTCTTACACTTTATCTCGTGTAATTAGGAGATTTTTACACGTCTTAGTAGTAACTTCCATTATTGTCATTCACTTGTCTTGCTCTATCTCTCAGTGGCGTAGGCTTATTGGGTGGTTTTCCTTTTAGTACAACAAGAAGTAGCAGGATGTCAGAACGTCTGACACGTATTGCAATTGTGAGCTCTGATCGGTGCAAGCCGAAAAAATGCCGTCAGGAGTGCAAAAAGAGCTGTCCTGTGGTTAAGACAGGTGTGCACTTGTTTTCTGTATTATAACTTGATTTATCATTCTGGTGCAATAGTGTTACTTCGGCTTCTTCACCTGCTTTAAATATTCTGAGAGATTTGCTTAAATCTATATTTGTTGTTGTACATAGATTTTGTGGTATATTTTTGGTGGTGATTGCTGGTTATTCTGATATATTTTTGACTTGACAATGTTGCTTGAGAGACTTATTTACTGACCTTATCACGGGGGCAGTGGTTTTCTAAATGTTCTGCCCCCCCCCCCCTCTCCCTTCCCCTGAAAGTGAGTTTGGTTCATGAGCTATGATGACGGAGAAAAGCCATGTACTTTGTGAAAGCTTATATGTAAGCAGGTCAAATGTATGTCATACTGATTGATGGATACACTTATTAATGTATAGATTTGGTACGTTATATGATCTGTAATGAAACCTTTATTACTTGTTTTCCTTCATCCCAGGGAAACTATGTATTGAGGTTTCTCCAGCAGCAAAGCTCGCATTTATATCTGAGGAGCTGTGCATTGGGTGTGGTATTTGTGTCAAGGTCAGCTATAATCTATGCTCCCTCTTACTTACCCATACATATTAAAAACATATGCTCATATTTATGTAGACCACAATTACATTGTGTGCTGCTTATTGCTTTTTTTTTTTTTTTGACTCTATGTCTCAATCATGGATGCAGAAATGTCCCTTTGAAGCAATTCAGATCATCAATCTTCCAAAAGATTTGGAAAAGGATACAACACATCGTTATGGCCCCAATACTTTCAAGCTACACAGGTTTGCTGGTTTGGGGTCCTAACATACTGATTTTATGTTCCATCTGATCTTTCAGTTTTAAACGGTGAACACATTCAATTACAGGCTACCTGTCCCCAGGCCAGGGCAGGTTCTTGGTTTAGTGGGAACAAATGGTATTGGGAAATCAACTGCTCTCAAAGTTTTAGCTGGCAAATTGAAGCCCAATTTGGGAAGGTTCAATGTAATATGCTCAATATCACTATTTTTGTTGATTGTTTCGTGATCTCTTCTGCCTATTCACCTGCTAGTGTTTTTTCTGCAGAATCCACCTGACTGGCAGGAAATCTTAACATACTTCCGTGGATCTGAACTGCAAAATTATTTTACACGCATATTGGAAGATAATTTGAAGGTAGCTACTCTTTCTAGTTTTAAGCCCTTGCTTACCTTTATTACTGAAAATGGTGACTACTAGTTTACCATCGAGTATTTTTTGTAATTTTGATTTCTGTGCCTTTCTTTTTTTTTTTTTTTTTTTTTTTTTTTTTTTTTTTTTTTAATATGTTTTGATGTGTTATTAGGTGGGAGCACTTCTTGTCTATTTAGTTTTGCCTCTTTTCTTTTTTAATTTTGCATATATATGTATAGGCTATTATCAAGCCCCAGTATGTGGACCATATTCCGAAGGCAGTCCAGGGCAATGTTGGACAGGTGCTTGAGCAGAAAGATGAGAGAGATATGAAGGTTGTACTTTGTGATGATCTGGAGCTGAATAAAGTTCTGGATCGTAATGTTGGAGATCTCTCTGGTGGTGAACTGCAGAGGTTTGCTATTGCAGTTGTTGCCATACAGGCTGCTGAGATCTATATGTTTGATGAGCCTTCAAGTTATCTGGATGTGAAACAAAGGCTTAAAGCTGCTCAAGTTGTTAGATCATTGCTTAGACCCAATAGGTATTTATTCATATTTGATCTCTCTCTTACCGTATTTGTAGCCTTGTAAGGGGCCTTGTACTGGATGAACAAGTAATTGAAAAGCTCTTTTTGTGTTGTTTACTTGTGTGTTTCAGCTATGTTATTGTCGTGGAGCATGATCTAAGCGTTTTAGACTATCTTTCAGACTTCATTTGCTGCTTGTATGGTAAACCGGGTGCATATGGAGTTGTCACCCTACCATTCTCTGTTAGAGAAGGAATCAATATATTCTTGGCTGGATTTGTACCTACAGAAAATCTTCGTTTTCGGGTTGAGTCTCTTACGTTCAAGGTAATCTTTCATCTACACTACATACTTTCAGCTGCTCTTTACATACCATTATAAGTCATTTCATGTGTGATTCTTTAGGTTGCTGAGACACCTCAAGATAACGCTGAGGAAGTTGAGACATATGCTCGATACAAATACCCAACAATGACAAAAACTCAGGGTGGATTTAAACTGCGTGTTATGGAAGGTGAATTTACTGACTCACAGATTATTGTGATGCTGGGAGAAAATGGAACGGGGAAGACAACATTTATTCGTATGCTGGTATTCTTGCCTTACATTAATTAAGAGATGAATAGTTTGAAATTTTCCTGGAAAATATTTACTCTGGGTTTTGGTTATTGGAAAAAAAAGAAACCATATGCTATTATGGAAATGAGATCTTTGGTGGTCTAGGATCCTTAACCCACTTTTAATTCTGAAATTTCAGGCTGGTCTACTGAAGCCTGATACTGTGGAAGGCTCTGATGTGGAAATACCTGAGTTCAATGTTTCTTACAAGCCCCAGAAGATCAGTCCAAAATTCCAACATAGTGTGAGGAGTCTATTACATCAAAAGATACGGGATTCATATACTCACCCCCAATTTATCTCAGATGTTATGAAGCCTCTTCAGATTGAGCAGCTAATGGATCAGGAAGTTGTGAATCTATCTGGTGGAGAATTGCAGAGAGTTGCATTAGCTTTGTGCTTAGGAAAGGTAAACCTATTTGTTGGTGTGGCTCACTTGCTCTCTGTCTCTTCTGTCTTTTGCTTCTAATTTCTCATTTCTTGGTTGATACTGTGTGATGTATGTGTGGGATATGTTGTGGAAACTTTTTTTTAGTATGCAGGTTCTTTGGGCATAATAATGATGTATACATGGTGAAATATTATTGAATGATTGGCTACTAATTCTTCTGTTTGGCTTTTAGTAATTGAAATGATTCTTCTTATTACATTAAGCATTTTGTACTTATGCAGCCTGCAGATATCTATTTGATCGATGAACCGAGTGCGTACCTCGATTCTGAGCAGCGTATTGTTGCTTCAAAGGTGATAAAAAGATTTATTCTCCATGCCAAGAAGACTGCATTTGTTGTCGAACACGATTTTATAATGGCAACATATCTAGCGGACAGAGTGATTGTGTATGAAGGAATGCCATCTGTGGATTGTGTTGCAAATTCTCCCCAATCATTGCTGACTGGAATGAATCTTTTCTTGTCTGTAAGTATCACTCCTTTTTGCTTTATCTTGTTGAGCATTGTGGATTATTTCACAAGAATTATTAAGTTTTAAATGGATTTTTGTTGTTGAGGGTCATGCTCAGATGGCCTATTTTGGGAGTGTTGGGATGTAGCAAGATTTTCTGCTTGGTGTGGTTTTTTACTTTGTTTTGTTAATGCTAGTGATGCAATTTGTAACTTTTTTTTTTCCTTGGAATAATTGCAGCATCTGGATATCACATTCAGAAGGGATCCAACTAATTTTCGACCTAGGATTAACAAGCTAGAGTCCACTAAGGACAGGGAGCAGAAATCTGCAGGAACTTATTATTACCTGGATGATTGATTTGGCTCTCACACAGGTTTGCTCTTCTGCCTTTTCTAGTAAGTCTTAGTTCTGTTGTCCAACTGTGTCTCAGTGTCTGTGCTTGTCCTTGGTCTGGTTTTGGAGGCTAAACTTAGGCTCTGCTGTTTTGGTGGAATGTTCCTATGCTGTCTTTGTTTTTTCGGCAGAGTTTGTCGCCATTTGGGGTCTTTGTAGGAGAATTATGGCAAGCTTATAGATGGAAAAGCTATTTGCAATCTGGTTTTCAACATTGTGAAAAACGTGAAGCTCTCTTAGTTTCATGATAATCTTTCCTCAAAAAAAAAAAAAAGTTTCATGATAATCTTTTTGTTTACTCTGTCCAAAGTCATGTGTTACTCCCTGTTTATTTTGTTTTGTATTTAAATAATGCTTTGCTTTGTTTCTCCAGTCAAACTACTTTTTTTTTTTTTTTTTTGGTTTGGTGGACTTGAATCACAACACAAAATATGTTTTTACTTATATTATTGAAGTCTCATATTGTAAAATAATCATTCCGTATTACCAATATATCATGAATAATGTTAACCTGCCAATGCCGTAATTTCTGACAGATATGCCGTAACTTCAGTATAATCAGACTTTTGCCTTGTATGATAGTGAATTGCAAAAAAGTTGCTCCCTATGCGAGATTTATATCGGCTTGAGACATTTTGCATACTCCAATAACCTTTTGCCGTTTTCCATTCTAAATGATGCCCTTTGCATTTATCTTTGATTTTGTTCCCACCAGCTGAAGTCTGTAATTTGATTGCATCTTTGCAGGAATTTTTGCCAGCAATCTCAAGAAGAAGTTGCAGCATTTGATCTGTTGCTGGCTATTGTTATTTTGGAGCTGAGGGTGATGGTGATAGTTTGAATTTTGGGGTGATCGAGGGTGGCCTTCAGATTTTCCTCCTCGCATACTGATTTATTTGTTTCCGTGATCTGTTACTGTTATTTCATTAGTGTTAGATCTCTTCTGTTGTGATAAAATTTTGCACCATGTTTGGGCTAGATAAAGATTTTAGCTTTAGCGCGAGTGAATTTTGCCTTGGCCAATTTTGGCATTGGTTTGAATCAGGATGATGATTTGTCTTTGAGGGCGTTTGATTATACTGAAGTGATACAAATCAATAATGTTTTCTTGATAAAATCTAATAGTGCGTGTTATTTTTTGTGCAAATCTTAGGGTTATTCCTCTCTTTTTGACGAAGTTGTTAGAGCTACACATTTTTTTAACTTGCGAAGTTGCCTCCCAGTGAAACAATAATTGCATGTTAATTTTGACTAATTCGCAGTGGATAAAACTTACGAATTCTGCACCCAACCTCAATAAAATTTTGGTTAGCACGTCTAACCAATTTCGAAGTACACTTGTGATTGCAAATTATTAGATATCTGCTATATTGAGCTGCAGGAGTCATCTGCCTCTGTGATTTGCCTGTAGATTCTGTATCGGCTCTCGGATGCAGACTACATCCAAGTTGCATATAATACGAACCGGAGGTAGGAAGACAAATAACTATTGACTTAAAGGAAGCTACCCAGATACAGTGTAAAAGGAAAACCCCAAAAAAAGTAATTTAAAAGGCTCTTTGATCAGAAAGATAATGTGAAATGTCCTACAAAGTACTGTCACCAAACTAGGAACTTTTTAATAATTTATTGGTCAACGAAATTTAATTATTGTCACATATCCTAGTTTAACGGATGGCATCAGATGTGATTCTTCTTGGAAATTCAACTAATTAGTGTATATACAGACAAAACTCATCTTTCTTAATGAGTATATTCTCAACTTTTATGGATATTCCAGTTGATTTATTGGCTAATTAACAATTTCAACAACATTTAAATTTTCATTTCATCATTTTTAATTATACATTTTGGAAACTATATATATGTCTGCAGTGGTACCTCAAAGTTTATGCAATACAAAATGGGTGGGATGAAGATATATCATAGTCCTTGTTCAGGTGCTCTCTTGGTTCTGGGATTAATTCTGAATGTAGCACTGGTTAGCAATGCAGGAAAATCAAGTGCTTTCGTCAGGAAAGTCGAAAAATCTGTTGATATGCTTCTTGACAGTGATGTTTTTAGACTACCTCCAGGACATAATGCTCCTCAACAGGTACCTATCTTGATATCTTCCTACCAGCATTGAGCTGGGTGTTTTGCCTCTTGGTCAATGCTGTATTTTTTTCTCCGTTGTTGAGATTGTTTTTTCGGGTTGTTTTGTTTGAAGGTTCATATAACACAAGGAGATCATAATGGAAAGGGTGTGATTGTGTCTTGGGTTACTCCAATCGCGGCAGATTCTAGTTCAGTGGTGTATTGGACTGAAAACAGCCAACATAAGTACACAGCTGAAGGCATAGTTACCAAATACAAGTACTACAATTACACTTCTGGTTACATTCATCATTGTACCATTGAAAACTTGGAGGTTAGTTACCTTGTTCTTGGTTTGTTATGTTCTTGTTCGTTCCAAACTTTTAATAGAATAGAGTTGTTTCTAAATTAATGTGTATGTATATAAATATTTGCAGTATAATACCAAATATTATTATGAAGTTGGGACTGGAAAATATGCAAGGACTTTCTGGTTTGTGACTCCACCAGAAGTTGGTCCTGATGTACCATACACTTTTGGTGTCATAGGCAAGAAATTGATTTCTGACTAATAAAATGCCAAATGAAGAATTAAAATGGTTTCTATTGTGTTGAAATAATTTGGTTTTTGAACTTCCTTTGTTGTTTTGAATTGTTATGCAGGTGATCTCGGCCAAACATTTGACTCAAACACGACGCTTACACATTATGAGATGAATCCAACAAAAGGGAAGACCCTTCTTTTTGTTGGGGACCTATCTTATGCTGATCACTACCCATTTCATGACAATGTGAGATGGGACACTTGGGGAAGATTTGTTGAGAGGAGTGCAGCTTATCAACCATGGATTTGGACAGCCGGAAATCATGAACTTGATTATGCCCCTGAAATTGTAAGCACTCTTAACATTTTAAAACATGTACTGAAAGCACTCAAACATGTACATAAATTCTGATTCTATCAGCATTTTCTTCTGCAGAATGAAACAGTGCCCTTCAAGCCTTACACTCACCGATATCATGTACCGTATAAGGCCTCAGAGAGCACTTCTCCTTTATGGTATTCAATCAAGAGAGCTTCAGCATTCATTATTGTCTTGTCCTCATATTCTGCATATGGTAAGAAGTATCAAAGCTATTATGTTACCAAAAATTAGTTCAAAAAGGGAAAAAGTCCTTACTGTAATAATTGGAAATTTTGATTTAGGTAAATACACCCCTCAGTATGAATGGCTTGAGAATGAGCTTCCTAAGGTAAACAGAAGTGAAACACCTTGGTTGATCGTCTTGGTGCACTCGCCATGGTACAACAGCTACAACTACCATTATATGGAAGGGGAGACCATGAGAGTCATGTATGAGTCCTGGTTAGTGCAGTACAAAGTCGACGTGGTCTTTGCTGGTCATGTGCACGCATATGAAAGATCTGTAAGTAATCTAAGTATAGTCTTATATGGTCTAATTTTTCACAATTAGAGCGTGAACATACAAACAGTCTGTATGGCTAATTAATTGTTTTCCATTTCACAGGAACGAGTGTCTAATATTGCATTCAACATCACAAATAACCTATGCAACCCTGTAAAGGACCGTTCTGCTCCAGTATACATAACCATTGGCGATGGAGGAAATATTGAAGGATTAGCAACCAAGTAAGATCAATTCAACTTATAACAATTCTTGCCTATAATTCTTCATATTTTTTGGTCAAGTGCTGAAAAGAAATTGAACTTATTTGGCCCTATTTTGCTTGCAGCATGACTGAACCCCAACCAAGTTACTCAGCTTACAGAGAGGCTAGTTTTGGGCACGGAACATTTGATATAAAAAACCGAACTCATGCTCACTTCAGCTGGCACCGTAACCAAGATGGTTACTCTGTCCAAGCCGATTCCATGTGGCTACACAACAGATACTGGATGCCTGAGGACAGTTCCTCTGACAATTGATGTTGATCACAACAGAAAAGAGTTATTTTCTTCTCACAGAATAATCTCATTAACTTGTGTATTCCCATTTTGTATCATAGAGTAATGCTTTGTTGGTGCATACTATTCCTATGTTAATTTTACATCATTCACTAAACAAAATTGCACTTTTAAAACATAATATTATAAGTTCTGATAGCTGCAATCAGAAAAGGGTTGGTTAAAAAACCGTTGTGATCCTCATTTTATGCAATTGTAGTCTTCTTCCTTCCTTTGTTATTGAGCATTTGGATGATGTATCCTTGCTATGAATCTTCCATAATTTTGATCAATCTTTTCTTTACATGAGATGACCGGGGTTGGGATTCTCGAGTACTTGGTTATTTGTCCAATTTCGACAAATATATGTTTTGGTGCTATTGTGAAATGTGAAGTTAAAGTAGTAAAAAAAAAAAAAAAAAATGCACTTGGCAAATTTGATCAGTAATGAACATACTTGAATATATGAATATCAGTACTTAGTAATGAATCCATTACACTACATTGACCAAAAATTTAAAATCAAATTTATTCTGCCAGTAATGAACAACAAATAAAGAAATAAGTAGCAAAGCAGTAAATATTAGCATAAATGAAGTAAATAAAACTTTTCTGTCAGTCTAATGGACACAATCGGATAAGATTCAATTGATGCTCTTGGGAGGCTGCCTGTTCTTGGCCATCTCAAGGTCATTATCATCATTATCAGGGATGAAGCGGCACCAGAACCAGTGATTCTTCCACACAATGCTCATTTCTTCAATGGGTATGCCCTTGGTCTCGGTTAGAAAGAAGTAGATAAACACGGACATAACAAAGATGAAGAAGGCAAAGAAGAGGAAGAGGCCGAACTTGAGGTGGCAAAGCATGGTGAGGAAGACCTGAGCCACGACGAAAGTGAAGAACATGTTGACTGATACATTGATACTTTGTGCTGCAGAACGAATTTCCAAAGGGAAGATCTCACTTGGCACGAGCCAAGCGAGTGGACCCCATGACCAAGCAAAAGCACAGACATACAAGCATATGCAGAGCACAATCAGCATTGCATACCATTGGGGAAGTTGTGCTGCTGGGTTGCCACTCACCCCAAACTTAACTCCTATAAAAATCGCGACAACTACTTGACAGATGAGCATCTGAACCCCGCCTTGCAGGAAAAGGAGCCTTCTCCCCCATTTATCAACACCATAGATGGAAACAAAAGTGGCCAACACATTGAAAGCACCAGTGATGACAGCAGACATTAGCGAAGCATTGTCATGAAATCCAATAGTCTTGAAAAGGACGGGGGCATAGAACATGATGATATTGATACCAGTAAACTGCTGAAAGAAAGGAATTGCAATTGCCATTGTAAGATGAGGCCTATACTTTCTTTCAACCAGGTTTCTCCAAGGATGATCCACCTTATTCGAGGCCTTACTAGCTTCCACCAAGTCATTAAACTCCTTGTCTACTTCTTTAATTCCTCGAATCCTCCTAAGGTTCTCGATGGCCTTGTCATACATCCCTCGCTCAATCAAGGAGTTTGGAGTGTCAGGGAGAACGATGGACCCGATAATGATGATCATAGCAGGAATTGTGGCTCCTCCTAAGCTCAACCTCCAACCCCAGTCATAAATTTTGGCAAAGAAATAGTTTACAACATTGGCTACTAATATACCAATTGTGATTGAGAGTTGGAAGACAATATTCAGTGCTCCTCTGTACTTGTATGGTGCCATCTCAGCTAGGTATAGTGGTACTGACTGTTATATGCTCATGATCACACAATGACACAAATTAAGCATAAATTAGTAATAATGTAATTATAAGATTATAATTAATTAAATTTATAAAAGACTTATAGTTCAAATACATATAATTCCTTGGAATACTCTGCAAAAGACTTAGTTGCATGTTTATCAATAATATGATCATAACATACTACACCAAATTAAAATATAATCTGTGAAATTATAAAATACAAGAACTTTTTCAATATGATCATAACATACTACTTCCTCAAAAAAAATCATAACATACTACACCAAATTAAAAAATACTATAAGAAATTATAAAATATTTCTTCCGTTTTTTAATACTTGCAACACTTTTTTAAAATGAAAATGTCACAATACTTGCAACGAACACACCATAAATGGACGTTATTTTGAGGAAAAACTATAATATTTCCCTTATTAAAGCACATGATCTACTAGATTACAGTCCTAACTGTCAGATAACACAACCGCTCACCCCATATGAACCCCACATACTTTAAATACCGTGAAAAAGTGTGTTGCAACTATTTAAAAACGGAGGAAGTATGACAACTTTTTGGTGACATCTTAGAATAAAATAAACAATTCTTGACATCTTAGAATAAAATAAACAAGTACTTAAGTACTCGTCTGCACTGTCTAACTTGAGATGTGTAATTAATTAGTTTTTTAATTAAGTAATTAAATACCTGATTAGCAAATCCAACACCAAAACCGAGAAGAGCGCGACCAATAATCAGCATAGCTACATTTTGTGCAAAAGCATTGATGATAGCACCAGAACAAAAGAGAAGACCTCCAAATAACATGGATCTTCTTCTACCCAATTTCCTTGTCACAGTTGAAGCAACCAAAGAAGCTAATAAAGCTGTTACATATAATGTTGAAGTAAATAATGTAACGGTTTCACTATTAAATTTGCAATACTGGTTTGTTGAAGTGTCTAGCTCTTCTTTCTTGTATACTGATGGGAAAAATTCCTTTAGAAACGACGGCATAGATGTCACGCCCCCTAACAAAAATAAAACGTACACAATAACACATTAGAAATACACGAGTAATTGTAACTTTAACCAATAGCTATTTTTCTGACACGTTGATGCAATACTTTATTTTGAGACGGATGGAATATATATTGTCCGGTAGTGTATTACCTGAAATTCCTATATCGTAACCAAAAATCAAACCACCCATGGCCGCGACAATGCATGTTGCTAGCACAAAAGGTGTTGCGTTTCCGGGGTACTCTTTCTGATGTTGAGGAACAAATCCTCCTGATGGTATTGGCATGTTGTTTTTCTGCGAGAGTGAAGAGCTAAAGTTTAGAGGGAATTGAATTGAATTAAAGTAAAAAATAAAGAGTGTTTAACAAATATTTCGTATAATAGCTAGTTTTTTTATTATAGAAAAGGAGTATTATGATGTTTTTTGCAAATAAATGAATGAAGGGTGTATTTATAATACATAAAGTATGCATATTTTTGGAATTTTATTTTGTAGGAAATGTTTTTGGAAACTTGGCATACCACAACGAGGAAAGTTTACACGTACGTTTGATAGATAATCTAGACGTGGTGCATGCATCAAATAAGTGAATTGTAGACGTAATTGCCATTTATTTTTTTTGGACATATTTTAGTAATTGCCATTACTTTTTTTTTTTTTTTGAAAGAAAGTAATTGCCATTACTACTGCTGAGGAAGATGATTGAGAAAGTGAAAAAAAAAGGAGATAAATATTTGTCAAGTTTCTAAAAAAAATTGCATTAGAGTACACTCTAATATTGTTCATTTGTTCTTATTATACGGAGTAAAGTTTATTTTTTTTTTTTTTTTTTTTGAGTTCTCTCTCTTAGATTTGACAAGAATTTATGTACAAATATCTCATTAGAGTTATCACGTGTTTTCATTATAATGTACTTCGTATATAGTAAGTGGTTGAACATTGCTATATGCCTATATTGTTGGATTAATTTAAAATATGGTACAAAATCAGATTTGGTTCAAAATCAAAACACCTAAATTCAGGTTCAATTTGGATTTAGGTTCATAATTTTGCAGTTAAAAATTATAGATATCATTGATTTCATGATTTGTGAATTGTGACTAGACTCATTTGTAATGGGCTTTACAGGCTGGCCATCTTGCATAGTTTTCTAATAGGCCCATTGATGAACGTTCGTTTGCTAGACTCCACACATTCCTTGAAATAGATAATGTGAAATCAAGAAGTTCCCAATTAACTTATTTGAACATAAGAAAAAACTACTTGTATATCAAAATTCTCAAGACAAAATGAAAATATGTGTGTCCAACATAATTTACAACTATTAGATTCTGATTAATTTTTATATAGACGATCACAAAAGAGATTTAAAGGAACATTTCTTTGTTGTGAAAGTCTTGAAAACCAAATGCCGAAATCGTGGGAATAAATAAAAGAATAACAAACCAAAAAACATTGTAAGATTACAAACTTATCAATTGATTAACTGTTGCCTTTTTCTAAAAGCAATGCAAAATACTCGCATATTTTGATAAAAACGGCCCAAACCTTATCATCCCTACGCAATCTCAAGATTCTCATTATTCAAAGTCGAAAGTTGACTTTCACAATCATGAAAGATACCCATACTTTTTTTTTTCTTTTTTAATTATATTTTTTTTTTTTTGAAAAACTTTTTTAATTATATTAATCAACCAATAATCAATTACATAAATCACATGTTTGGGTACTAAAATGGTCATACCCATTTTAGTCTTGGGTAACTCTACCCATATAAGCCCAAAGGGCATAAAAAAGGTATAAAAGGCCCCAAATAAGTCAAATACATCAATATGGCCTTCAACGGCCTGCATATGTAATTTTAGGGCTCATAAACCCACTTATGTACTCATATAAATACCCCTCAAAGGGCATAAAGTAAAGGGAGGTCACTCTTATCATCTAAGATGACCATACTCCTCCACTCTCTCCCCTAAACTCCTCTCAAAATATGCATTGTTTGGCAACTAACTTGGGCGTCGGAGGCTCTGCCCCGGGTTCAACTTGCAGGTCCATTCAAGGCCCAAATTCGAGGTTCTCAGACACCCCTCCAAGGCCCGGTTAGCTCATTTTTTGCCGAAACATTACATATTCACATTATATGCGATTTTATACTCTTTGAATATTCTCCTAGCAATATTTTCCTATTCACAAAGAAAGCAAAAATGCTATAAATATAAGAAGAAATTAATAAAAGGGGACGAAAATACTAAATTTTGGGGATTATTTTCTCCAAAATTTCAAATTGAATAGAAATGGCTCCATTGCAATCTTCCTCCCAATTTGGTTCAATTTTATGGGTTTTTGTTATTCTGGGTTTGATTTTAAACCAAGCTCTGATTTGTCATGGAGGAAAAACAAGCAATTTTGTCAGAAAAGTGGAAAAAAACAATTGATATGCCTCTTGATAGTGATGTCTTCTCTGTTCCTCCAGGCTACAATGCTCCCCAACAGGTTTCTTTCTTTCTTTCTCTCCATTAATCATTACTCGTAGTTATAATTAAAGTCCGAGGGTAATGATGTAGACGAGATTTGATCCGAGGTCTTGTGTACCACCCCGAGTCCCTACATTCACATAATTGCTTATTTTATGATGAAATTAATACCCATTTAGTTGTTAGTTAAATTTGATTTATAATCCAAAGTTTGCATCTTTTCACTCAAATGAATCATGGGTATAGTCTTAATTTGGGATAGAATCATTCCTTTTTTTGAGTTATGAAAATTAATTGAATATATTTTGGTTTTTGTATGGTGTGTGAAGGTTCATATTACTCAAGGAGATCATGAAGGAAAAGCAATGATAGTTTCATGGGTAACAATGGAGGAACCAGGTTCAAATGAGGTGGTTTACTGGAAAAAGAATAGCGAAAAGAAGAAAACTATTAAGGGCAAAATGTCGAAGTACAAGTATCATAATTATACTTCTGGGTATATACATCACTGTACCCTAAAAAATTTGGAGGTTAGATTTTGAACCTGTTTTTTTTTAATTCAGTTCTAAAGTATTAGAAATTGGTGTGATATTTTAATGTTGAGAGTCTTCAATTATTAATAGTGTTACCTAATTCGCTAATCCCCACAAACTATGGTCCAAAACGTACAAATTGGTCCAATAGAACAATTTTCGTGTCGTTTTTGGTGTAGTTTACCTATTTGTAAAATATCCTTGTTGTGAATCTGTACATGCATTTTTTATATCAGACATGGAGTGTTATGGAGTATTAGTACATTAAATTAGAACATTAATTAATTAGCATATTGTTTTTGGAATGTTTTGCAGTATGACACTAAATATTACTATGAAGTAGGTGTTGGACAAACCCCAAGAACATTCTGGTTCAAGACTCCACCTAAAGTTGGTCCTGATGTTCGTTACGCTTTTGGTCTTATAGGTAGGTAACTATTTTAGACTTTCGGTATTCATGGATCTTTGAGAATGGCTAATACTTCCTCGATTTTGTTTAGAGTAATGAGCAATATGATTGCCTTTTGTACATGATATATGTCTGAAGTTCCTTACCCTGATCCAATTAGTGTGAGTCATTTTTGCAGGTGATCTAGGACAAAGTTATGATTCAAACGCGACTCTAACACATTATGAACAAAACCCGATCAAAGGGCAAACTGTTTTGTTTGTTGGGGATCTTTCATATGCAGATAATTATCCCAATCATGATAATAACAGATGGGATTCTTGGGCTAGATTTGTTGAGAGAAGCGTCGCCTACCAACCCTGGATTTGGACTGCAGGGAATCATGAGATTGATTTTGCTCCTGAAATTGTATATACTTCAACCTTTGTTTCCTTTGAACTTATTCTTTGGAAAACCAATTAAGTTAAACAAATTAAGCTTCTAGAAGTCTGTTTTCTTGCATCTATATAGTTTCCTTATTCTAACTTATCTTCAGTGTGCACACTGCTAAGCTATACAGAAACACTTACTATCAGCTATGTTGTAACAGGGTGAAACAAAGCCTTTCAAACCATTTAAGAACCGATATCCCACACCTTACAAAGCATCAAACAGTACAGCTCCGTTCTGGTACTCAATCAAGAGAGGCCCTGCTTACATAATCGTTCTATCATCATACTCCGCATATGGTAAAGTCCTTAATCTCCTTTTAAAAGTAAAAAGTACACAAGAATATTGAGAACTTTGAGTTTTATTTACGCGATCTAGCAGCTTGAGTACTGAGACGTTGATGAGTCTTTTTTAAGGATAGTTCTAAAATGTTTGAAGCTTATTGGTTTTAAATAATAATCTAAAATATGGAAACATATTGATTGTTCTGTAAAAAAATTTGGGAATATAAGTTTTGGTATTGCTCCCGAATTTTCAAACTAATGCTTGGACAGTGTCACTCTGCATTTTAAAACTTCTCAGTTCTTGCATAGTTACAATGACCATCAAACTTCAAGCATCATGTTTGATATATAAACCCTTGCTTGTTTTATGACTCTTTGTGTTTGGAGAATAGAACAACTCTTTCTATCAGCAGTTTACTTTGTAATTATTATAACTGTGATTACTCCTTTGCAGGAAAGTACACCCCGCAGTATAAATGGCTTGAAGAGGAGTTACCAAAGGTTAACAGGAATGAGACTCCTTGGTTAATTGTTCTGGTGCATTCTCCATGGTACAATAGCTACAATTACCATTACATGGAAGGAGAGTCGATGAGAGTCATGTATGAGCCCTGGTTTGTCCAATACAAAGTTGATATCGTCTTTGCTGGTCATGTTCATGCTTATGAGAGATCAGTAAGTTCGATTTGTCTTTACTTCACTAAAGCTTCATTTTCTTAAACCAAAAGTCCCTTATTTGAACTTACTATTGCATTAGCCCTTGTCTCAATTAATTTGAACGTACCTAAACTAATTATCGATCCTTAACTCATTCTTTTTTTTCCTTCTGATTAGGCCTTATTTTCCCTGAATTAATTATTTAGGCGAAAGAACAAACCCAACTGATAGAAATGAATTTAGTGTTCTGCCTTTCATAATTTTAACTTCTGAAATGAAATGCAGAGACGTGTATCGAATATTGGATACACCATTGTCAATGGAGAATGCAGACCAGTTGAAGACCAATCTGCTCCTGTTTACATAACAATAGGAGATGGAGGAAATCTAGAAGGTTTAGCAACGAAGTAAGACAACTACACCAATTTATTGTGTTTATGAATCTAATACCATTCCTTATTTTCTCCCCTCTTAATAATGGCCCTAACATCTAATATATAAATCTGCAGTATGACAGAACCACAGCCATTCTACTCAGCTTTTCGAGAAGCCAGCTTCGGACATGCCATTCTTGACATTAAGAATCGGACTCATGCTTACTATAGTTGGCACCGTAACCAAGATGGTTCCTCTGTGAAAGCAGATTCAATGTGGTTTTTCAATAGATTCTGGCATCCTGTTGCCGAATCTGTTAATGCTGTTATTTGATACTAGACATTCTTCAACATACTGCAAGGTGCCTCGTTCTCTCATCTATTTCTTTTTTTTCTTTGTGTGCTTTGTTAGGTGTAATTGTTTAACCTATAACGATCACAAGGCATAAGATGTATACTAATGGTAGAGTAATAAAGGTTACATAAAGCATACAGTTTCCAATTCCCCTGTATATCCTTTAAGCTATCTGAACCTGATGTTATAAGTCATAAGAAAGCTTTCTGCTTGTTACTTGTTGATGAACAAGTAAATTCCGCTAATGAACAGAAAAGTATGCAACGAGTTTATCTTCGATGGTAAAGGAAACCCTTGCGTTTCTCTGAAATTCTAAGGAAGTAGAATTTGTATTGTAAACATATTTAGCTTATGTTAGATGAAAGCAAAGTTTTTAAGGATTTAGCGCTACAATTCTACATCATACTCGTATATTGTTTATCTGGGAAAGGATTAAAGGCAATACACTTAATGCGAAGGGGTGGGGGGTAGCCAACTTGCAAGGCTGCAACTTTAGTGTTTTAGCGTTAGAGAAAGTGTTTCCGGCTCTTCAAACTCTGCTGGATGGGGTTTATTTAGATCAAAGATCTTTGCTGTATCGACAGGTAAGAGAGCTTGCACAATAATTAAATTCTTCCCATCCTTCTTTTGATTATCTACTTGGGACATACAGTGGCTTGTCTCTTCAAGAGTTTGAGATCCTTTGTGCACCATCTGTGCCAGAAAGCCTTTGGGTTTCCATACCCTTCTCTTCCTGTGCCTTTTCTTTTGATGGATTGAGCTTTCGGTTTCAGAGCATGTCACTGAAGATAGGAGCTCAAGATTAGAGGTCATTGAGGGAGAAAAAGGCGGTATTTCTTGGTGCTCAGGGATGTGTTTCTTGGCAAGAGGTGATGTGGATTGTGTTTGATTTGGGCTAGAAGGGCATAGGAATGTAGAGTTTAGTGAGCTTGACATGCTGAATGCAGAGTTAAGATCTTGTTACACACTTTGAATAACTGGGGTAGGAAAATTTTACATGATTTCGGTCATTCTAGGATGCAACCATGTAGGTAATGAAGACCTACAAGATTTCTAAGAAATGTTGGTTGTAATTTGGCATGCTTTGGGAGTGTTATAATGTTTATTGAATGAGGGGAAGGGGGTGGTATATGGTAATCAGAATGACAGTCATGGCGGTGTAAGTGGCGCCATGGTGACTCTTGGTGGTTGTATCTTGTATAGGGGATGAAACAGAGGAGGAAAATTTAGAGAATTAACTTTGCAATAAAAAAATTTAACTGTAATTATGAATATTTCAATTTTGTTTCACTTGGGATTGGAAGAGGCAATTTGGCTATTTTACCTATTTATAGAGCTCAATAGAGGCCATTGCCGCGTTTGCTCTGACATGGTAAAGTTAAGTACTTCATCTTTTAACAAGTATGGATGTCAATTAGATTAGTTGGTTAAAGTCTCGAGTCTTGATATCTAAAGCTCGAATTCTATTCCATCTACATACACCATCTTCCTGTTTGAACTCTTTGCACAAAGGTGATTAGATGATGGATCGGGCCGGACCAAGGACAAAAAATCAACCCGTTTGGAGGGGGCTGGGCCGGGCTGAATTTTATCAGCTCTAGGACTTTGCACCAACAGAAAATGCTCAATAAATGATCTCACTCACTGTAGCATTAATGGAAGGAACAAGAACGAGAACAATGGCTCAGATGTTCAGCTTGACTATGGAAAAATCTCACTTGACTTTTGACTGAAGAACAAAAGTTTAGAGAGGAAGAAAGAAGAATATAAGACTTTGGTTGGTCATTAGGAGACATGCACTTATTTCAAGAACTTAGGTGATAATTTTATACTATCTTCTTTTGTTTTGACGAAAAACATTTTTTTAAAAATGATTTATAATGAAGAATGATCTGAAAAGATCATAAAATTAATATATTTTTAATTTTTTACAAGAGAAATATTATAGAGTAAAGGAAAATATGAGCGGAAGGGAGAAGATGGATGGGAGGGGAGAAAAGAGGTATAACTATATAAGGAATAGGAACGTTTTAGTCTGAGTTCAAGAACTTTGAATTTTGGACTTGGTTATTTGTTTAATCCATACCATTTTCGCGCAAAAAGGACATCATTATCCTTAATAATGTATGGGTGATATTGTCTTAGATATATAGCTCACTATTTGACTATTTTAGTATTGCTCAATGTGAAAAGAGTATGTAATACTGTATCCCATATAATTGCTAGATGAGAGACGTACGGTACGTTTTTGGGCGTTTGGAGTACATTTGTATCATTGTATGGGTTCGTTTCTCCACCGCATATTATCGTTGGCGGAAGTTAACTTAACTTAATATAATGCCGGAGATTCTTTCATTCAAAAAAAATAAAATAAAAATAAAAAATATGGGTGATATATACTTGTAATTGTAAAGCCAATAATTTCTTATGCAACCCTCACATCCTCAAAAACTTTGGTAATTGGCAGAGATCCTTGTTGTGTGAGAAATTTTATGCAAAATCACATAAGTATGGCATATAAACTTGGTAGTAAAATGTACGTATTAATTATTTTTATTAAAAACATATACTACGTATTTGAAGACATTTTGTTACAAATATATCTCAAATTCTCAATCATATATCAACCATACTATAAAATGCTGAATATTCTTTAGGACATTCAACCTTGTACATATACTTATGTACTTTATTATATGAGGAAGTAAATAAATAAATCTTATTACTTGTACATTTCCATCACATATATGGAAATAATACTTTGAGTTATCTCTTGCAAACAACCCCACGTCCATTCATCCCACTACCACAGTTCATGCTAGCAAGCTCCATGGTTGGCAATGAAGTCTCTTCTTGAGCACCAACAAACCTTGAAGCCAAACAATCCATGGCGAAAATGCTACTACTAGCATACTCCCTTTCTCCTCCCATAACCGGCATTGATACTCGAGTATTAACTCGACTCACGTAATCATTTGCATAAGTTTTCCCTAGCACACCATCAACCTTTCCGGTTAATGATAGAAACTTGAACCCGAGATCAAGATGAGCAAACCGATCCTCATCGGTAACACCATAGTTGTGCACCCTAGAGTCTTCATCAGTAATAGGTACAACCTTAGCCGTGACCTTGAGTTTTCCTTGGACTTCAACGATAAGTTCGTTGGTCTTACTTGTTCTTGTTATGGTGACTAAAGGAGTGGAGGTGGATGACCATTGAGAGCCTTCGGTTTCTTCTAGGTATATTGGCTCCCCGTTGAAGGCCAAGGAAAGGCGGTCATTGGCATCATCCCATACGGAGGTCTTCTTAGCGCCTAAGAAGAGACGATGGTTGTCGAAGAGGACTCCAATGGATTGAACCCATGTAAAGTCACGTCCCATGTTTGCATTTCTTTTACCGATGAAGTGTCCGTTGATGTGGAGGTTGGGGTCGGTCACTAGGCAAAAGTCTTTGTCCTTCTTTCCATGGAAGTAGAAGGTGATACCATCTCCTCCTATGAAGCGAGGGTCTTGACATATGGCTCCTGGATAGTCACAGTCTACGTTGTACACAAACATACAATTAGTGGCTAATTTAATAAGGAGTAGGAGTCAAAACATAAACAAAAATACAAAGTGTAAGTGTAATATGGTTTAGTAGATTAAAAAAAAAAAAATAACTTACTGCAGACAGGCTTGCAAGTGACACAATCGACTTGACATGAAGTAGGGCAATTAGCAGGACATACATGCTCTTGGTTATAACATTGTCCGTACTTCTTGTTGTTACATTTAGCTCTCTTTCTGTAGCCAGCATTAGAGGAAGGAGGAGAAGATGTCGAGGGAGTAGGCTTTGAAGGCGATGATGGAGTAGAAGGAGAAGGTGTTGGTGCCTTAGGAGTTGATGGTGTTGGGTAATATGATGTATGAGAGTTCTTTTTTCCTCCACCAGATGATGATGAAGAGGGGGAGGAGGAAGAGGAGGAAGAACCAGAAGATGCAGCAGCGGCAGCTGCAGCTGCAGCTGCAGCTGCTGATGATGCTGATGATGTTGCGGATGAAGAAGCAGATGATGCTGCAGATGAGGCAGCAGATGATGCTGCAGATGAAGCAGCGGATGATGCTGCAGAAGATGATCCCGAAGGTGAATGATGTTCACTTGTTGAAGTAGAAGAACAAATTGGCTTACATGAAGCACAATCTACTTCACAACTATCAGGACAAAATTTAGGACAAACATGCTCCAAGTTGTAGCACATCTTGTACTCCTTTTTATTACACGACGCTCTTGAAGGGTTTTTAGCGATTCCTGGTGGAGTACTTGCTGCCTCGGCCATGATAGCCAAAAACAAAACAAAGAACCCAAGATAAATCATCTTGGGCAAACCCATTTTTCTTAATTAGTTGATTATAGCACTAATGAATATTGTAAGTTATACTTATGATTAAGTTATAATTACTAATATTCAAGGGCTGATGATGATATATCCTAAAACAAACAACTGCTTTTATAGAAGTGTAAGAACTAGGAAGTGTAGGAACTCAAGCTTGATGAATTCATAATTAATATTAATTTATTATTTTCATTAATTGTTGGGTCAAAAGTTAAATATATTCCTTGAAGAGTTGAAGTCATATTACATACACATGCAATTATCATACAAGAATAAGCTTTAAAATCAGAAAATTAAATTTCTATGTATCTGAAGTGTAAATATAAAATGGACCGACCTTTTGTTTGATTGTTAATCCATGGTGCAGCTTTTTGCATTTTACATAATATTGGAATCACTTTAACATGAAGGAAGAAAAGGGGTATTTCTTTATTTTGACATTTAGCCAAAGCTTACTTGACTAATGAGAAATAGTTATATTAAATTGAAAGGATTCTTGACTATTAATGAAGTTAGTTATCAAGTTGAGGGGAAAATAAAAATGTTTATCTGTAACAGTGATTAGAAGATTAGCAAATGATACTTTGTCTTGCAAAAGGAAATGTTTAGTAAGCGTAATGCCTAGTTCTCGGGGTTTTGGGTGTGGAGGGGATTTAGGGATAAAGCTATTACCTTTACCGCTATTGTACACATGGTTTCTAATAATGGTATCAAGATTGATGGGTGTGGTAACTAGGGTGTTTAATAATCTTGGACCCGCTGGTTTGGTTCGCCCATGTGTTCGACTAGCATCAACCCACTATTAACCCGCGGCCTGCATTGCTTTGTAATATACAAAATGACCCTTTTTTGACCCAACTTGTTATCAATCCACACCAACTATCGATCTACACCCAACTCGTCCAATAACCAAGCTGGCCTAAACATGAAGTTACATATAAGACTCTTTTTTGGATACTTTCACACAGGATGAACAATAGTATTGTGGTGACTGGTGTTCTAGTGGGTGTACATCAATATGGACAAGAACAACCAGTGCATCGTAATGACTCAATAAAGGATGCCCAACACCTTAATAGGAACCAACCAAGTTGGTGAAATGAACAATCTCTTCAGTTCTAGCTAGTGCGTGCAACATATTTCCAAAATAGCCATATAATTGATCAATCTAACTGATTCTCGGGATTTTATAGACTTTGTTTCGGGTGAAAACAATGGGACCTTGTCGAAGGTCCGACGAAGTGGAGAAGACTGGATTCGGTCCAAGTGATGTTGGGCCGAAGGTTTCCTGCACAGTAAACACACGTAAACTAGCCTCGGGGGTGTTGCCGAGGAAGGCCCCTCCGATGCTAAAGTCTGTACAGTGTGTAGAAAGAGAACACTATGCAAGAGAATTAATTGCTTGAGGCTTTGTTGAATGAATGTACAAATGTAATATTGATGGCTTTTATACCTTTGCATATATGGAGAAGTTGGGCCTTAGCCCAATTGGCTTGCCTTGAGGACTGATCTTTGACTTTAGCACAATTAGAGAGTTGAACCTTTACCTTGGGCTTTTAATTGGATCATTTAATGACTAGGCCCAATTGGACTAAATTGGACCCAAACAACTTGCCCCCCAGACCCGATTTGGAAGGATGACGGGTCGGGTTTGATTTAATCAGAAAAGGAGGGAAGTGAATGATTTAATTAATCCAAAAATTTGAATTTAAACCGTAATTAATGAGATAACAACAGTTAAGGCGAATAATTGTGGAAGTTGGACGGATAATGGGCGGTTTAATCGCAAGGTCGTGTGTTTAACGGTTACTTAGTGGGGTATTTAAGAGAAATTGAAACGCGGACTTCCCGTATTCCCATTTTTGGAGATATAACTAGAGGCGCGTCATCTCTCCTCACTTATTCACCAACACAAACCCAGAATTCTCAAGAGAACCCAAGAACCCGCATCAAAACTTCGCAAATTCCCCGAGCATTAAGCTTAGAAACTGAGACTCGTCACTACCAATTCGTAAATCGGCAACTTTCGCTTCAGATTAAGGTAAATTCCTTTGATTTTAGTTTATTTTTCTTCGAATTTGAACTCCTTCCCCTTTTTCGACTTTTTCCATCGAAATTCATCAATGGTGAGAGGAGTTAGAGGTAGAGCCCGTGCTCCAAGAAGAGAAAGGCCAATTCCCGATCCCAGGAACAGGATTGGGACCTAGAATGGACAAAGAGCAGAGTCTGACCCTGCTGAAGGGATTAGGGCGACTCCCATTTCTTCGGCTCCTCCTCGGAGAACGGAGGGGCCGAGCGCTTCTGGGCGGGACGATGAAGTTCCCGCTGTCCTTTGGGATATCCTTCCCGGGTTTTCGGAGTGGGAGGATGCCGAAGTAGCTTCGGCCATGATAAAGAACCGCCCCTACTCATGGTGGGTGGAGAATGCCGAACAGTATCGGTTTGCCGAACAAATTGAGTTGCATTACAGCATCCTTGAAGCTGATGGGTATTGGTGCCGAATGCCCGTGGCATCCGATAGAATCCATCGTCCACCCCCGGGGTATGTGGGGGTGTACACAAGACAACTTCAGTATGGGCTGAGGTTCCCTTTGGACGTATTCGTCCGAGACTTGCTGATCCATTACAATATTTCCCTATGTCAGCTAACTCCCATTAGCATCCGAAGGGTGATGACATACTTATGGGTCTGCAAGTTCTTCAGGTATGTGCCGAACCTGCACTGCTTCAAAAAGCTCCATCGGCTAGTGCCAAATATTCAAAGTGGGCACGGAAGTCACGGTTCTGGGTGGTACCGGATCGAGTCTCGGCCCCAGTACCTAACCATGTGGCCGAACGACTCTTCAGACAAGGACTGGAGAGGTCAATGGATTTGGGTTAGGGCACCCACGGACCCGAGTCACCCTTGCGTCTTCAGCGCTCCCCGGTATCTTGCTGAGCCTGATCCCGACATGGGAAGTTTAGGTCCCCCTAAGATAACGGCCCAGATCCGAACCTTAATCAACAGAACATCTTCGGCAAGCTGCCGAACCGGGGGGGGCAGCGGCCGAATGCAGCATATCCCGAATACTTGGCTCCCCGATACGCATTATGTTTTCCAAGAGAACATGCTAGCAGCTGTCGGCCTCAGCCGAAAGTTTAAGGATGGTAAGCTTCTTCGGCTGGGGCCGAGGCCTTTTAATTATCTCTTTTCCTCTTTCACTTCGCTCTTTTATGATGTGCCAACCTAACTGAACTGACCTTTTCCCTCTTCTTTTTCAGAGCGGGACGAGACCAACGTCGGCATTAACTACGCTCGTCTTGGCGTCAACCGAGAACGAGTTGTAACTGATCGGGCCCCCTCTATCACTGAACCGAGGCATAGGGAAGTTCATCTAGACTCTTCCCATTTCCAAATTGAGGATGTTGCTCTGTATCAGAGGCAGAAGCCTTGGTGGAAGAAGAGAGATCCCTGGTTTCAGCTGCTAGACGAAGAAGCTGAAGCTGCCCGTACGACCGAAGAGGTTGCACGGGTTATCGAAGCTTCTGAAGGAGGAGAAGGGTCCTCCAGGGCTGCTGAAGAAGAAGCTGCAGCTAGGCCAGCTGAAGAAGACGAGGCTTTGCTGAAGACCTCGGTGAGCTTTTAGACTTAGTTTTGTCTGCTGTTTTTTTTTTTTTTTTTTTTTTTTGTACTCACATTCTTCCTCCCCCCTGTCTTTTACAGTCCGAAGAGAGTAATAGACATAGAGAAGGGAAAGCCCCTGTTCGTCCCGAAGACCAGATACAAGAAGAGTCTTCAGACTCAAACATGGACGAGCAGCCGCTTCAGAAAAGGCGCCGAAGAATGGCCATCATCGGCCCGCATGACTTTGAGAGGAGGCCGATGACCATCGGCGTCGAAATAAGGGAACCCGAGGAAGGCAATGGATCGCCGAGGGTTCCCCGGCCACCACCTCAATCACCTCCAAAGACCCCTCCGCCACCTCCCGAGATAGAGGTGGATCAGAAAACTCCCGAACCTAAGGGAGGGGTCCAGGAGGAAGTTCAAGAGAGTGCTGCTGAGCACAGGGGTGAAGATGCCGTGATGCCCAGTGCTGAGGGTTTCACCGCAGACATTGCAAGAGAGGTTGAGGCCTTCGTCCTCACACCTGAAGAAGAAGAAGTCATAATAATTGACTCTTCTGAGAAGAAGGGGGATGCTGAGCCATCCAAGATTAAAGAAGCTCCATCGTCATCCTTCCCTTCCTTCCAGACGCTGCAGTCTGGAGAAATGGGTTTCTCGGCCCCTCGAATTCCAATCCCAGATCACATCTGGGACCTCATATGGGGTCAGAACCGAGAAGGTGCTGCAGCCTACTTCGGCGATTTTGCTGGGATGTCCGAAGTAGATAGGGCAAGAATCTGGTCGCTGAAGGCCACTGCTGGGATGGGCGAATCCAGCAAATCAGTTCCAGATCCAGCCAGGTCTAACCAACTGCTGATGATGCAGGTGATTCTCCTTGCCTTTATCTCCTTTTCAATTCAGCTCTTCAATTCAGTTTCAATTATTATTATTATTTATTTTATGTTTTGTGCTCCTGTTTCAGTTCGTGCACAATCAGACTCTCACTGTAGAGCTGATAGATACCCTACAAGGTAGGGTGGACGCTGCCGAACACGACAAAAAGGTAGCTGAGGAGGAGTTAAAGCTTGCTAAGCTGAAGCAAGCAGCAGCTGAAGAGAAGCAGCAGAAGGGTGAAGAATATGAAAAAAGAGCTGCTGAAGCCCTTAAGACCTTCTGTGACGCTATGGAGAAGGAAGTTTTTCCCCCACTGATGGAAGGGGAAAAATTCCTTCAAGAGCACATGGGAGTGGACATCTCCAAGTTCAAGGCTACCATTGAGAGCCGAATCCAGGAAGGAGCTGCTGCACAAGCTGAAGTGCAGCAAAAGCTGGAAGCTCTTGAAGCCAGTAGAATGGCTACTGAAGAGATACTCCAAGCCCGGAATGTCCAACTCTCAGAGGCTGCTGCTGCTACTGAAGCTCAGAGAGCTAAGCTCCAAGAAGCTGAGGATCAGCTGATGGTCAAAAAGGAAGAAGTTTCCCAGGCTCA